GGAAACTTCGCCCAAGCTCTCATCGAGCATATCGCTTACCTTGGCGACAACTTCGAGCCCACCTGGTTCCCCACCATTGAGAACTTGATCCGCCATGTCCACTCACTCGCAAAGACCTTCCCGATCGAGATATCCAAGGCTTACAGGTCACGGCTTGAGGAGATCAAGGAGGATCGGCCCCTAGCCCTGAATGTTGGTGACCTTATGCTTTTGACAGCTATTGGCACAACCTACCCTACTTCTGATCACTTCCATCAGGTGGTTACCCCTGCGATGCTTTCCATTACCCGTTATTTGGGACAGAAAATTCCCCAGACACTGGCCGACTACTCAATTGGTGCTTACCTTTCGATCCTCGCCCTTCAGTACCAATCCTTCTCCAAGCGTTACGTACCAGAATTTGTCAACTTCTGCCTCAACACTCTCTGCTCGCTCGCTGCTGAGAAGCCCAAGGAGAAGCTGGGTCTGTTCCCCGTCCACGAGCCCGCTGCTGGCATCCGTGTCAAGGGTGCCAGCAAGGTGACCGTCAGGAAGCTCAACTGCGGTGACTGCCAGCAGCCCAAGAGCGCTCGCTCCGCCAGCGACGACTCCGCTCTGAAGGTTGCCATTATCAGCACCATCACCTCCGTTCTCAGGACTGCTTCCGAGACGTGGTGCAAACTCCCCGCATTCTACGAGACCTTCCAGCCCGCCCAGCGCGTGCTCCAACACCTGACAACCAAGTCCAACGCCGCCCAGCTCCCTGCGGCCCTCGTCAAGCAGCTTAAGGACACAACGACAAGCATCTTCCGCCTCCTCCAGCTCGCCCAGGTTTCGCGCAGGCCACTCGAGCTGCACCACCACAAGCCGCTCGCCATTAAGACGTACGTGCCCAAGTTTGAGGACTCGTTCGACCCCAACAAGCACTACGACCCAGACCGCGAGCGCGCCGAGCTGGCCAAGCTGCGGGCCGAACACAAGAAGGAGCGCAAGGGCGCGCTCAGGGAGCTCCGCAAGGACGCGGCCTTCATGCAGCGCGAGAACCTCAAGGTCAAGAAGGCCAAGGACGAGGCGTACGAGAAGAAGTACAAGCGCTTGGTGGCAGAGATTCAGGGATCGGAAGGCCAGGCGGCGAACGAGTACGCGAGGGAGAAGGCGGCGAGGCTCAAGAAGAACAAGAGGTAAATGGTTACTTCTTAGAAGGTTCGGGGGTAGCAGTCGGAGTAGGTTTGTGGTCGGCCGCATCGTTGTTAGTGCCGTTGCTGTTGCTGTCATGTACACATTCTCAGCGTTTAGTGCAAGTGCAATATTTGGATCATGGGTTAGAGATACCATGCCTATTATATCATCTAGTAGTAGGAGTTTCAAGATCATTTCATTATTTGGCGACCCTCAGTACGTACATCATCTACTCCTGATGTTGTTGACATTTGATGTTTACCCAACCCAACCATTTCAACATGGCACGCATCCCTACCTGGGACTTTCAGCACTTCAACGAAACCATAAAATTCCGGTTATCGCTATTGACGGCGGAGCCTCATCTGAAGAAAAGAATCGAAAAATATCAATAAAAAAAAATATAAAAAAGAAAAATAACTGAAGCAAGACAAGAAAATCGAGCAGAATGGAGTTGCCCTTCGGTCGGCGTGTCCGTCCTGCGGCTATAATTCAAACAAAGCCATTCTTCAATCACTTCCCCCCCCTCGTGCCACCCATACTGTACCTCCAGCGCTGGCCCAACGACTAACTACATAGTTAGTTACGACTTACGAACAATAAGCGACCTAAACAACTAACAACCGCCGCACGTTATCGTTTAACAATATCACTGGACCCCGAAAACCCTGAACCAGTGAAATCGGCGAGAAAGTATTTCCAAGGTACTCAGGTCCCGGGTGGATGCTTGACCAGTATGTATTTTGCCCAGTCTGAACTTTCTAGACTTTCAAAGACAATTCGCATCTCTTTGTTGTGGTTTCTAGACACTGTAGGCGCCGTAGACGATGGTGTTGTGTTCATCGGGAAAGTCGGGCACTTTACGACTCTTTCATTCTTCTCTCTTTCCTTTGCTACACTTTCACTAGCACGCGCCTTTTCTTCTGGAGGGGAGAGCAAAGAAAATCATAAGCTGAAGAGATTCCGCGCCAGTTGGTGGCTGGGACATTGGTTGGTTCCGAGTAAGATCAAGATTCCCGTCCTGTCTATGAGGGTCCCCGTGTCCCCCCAGTTCCAGGTTTCCGGCGGCCGCAAAAGAGCCTCACACGCACCTCTCAGTTAATCGAAGACGGGGAAAATAGATGCCAAGGCGACGTGTGTCATCCCGATCTTGACATCGATCGCATCTCTGAAGCCATGGATTGCTATCGGTGTTCCCGCTGTTTGGAACCGACGATTTCGGCTTGCTGTTTCAGTTGGTTGCCTCTAACTTTCACATCGATCATGTGTCAAAGCTCGAATAAAAAGGTGAAGTAACGAAAAGAAATGAATTATCCCTCCTTAATATAGTTTATAGTAGACTATTTATAGTCTCTATGAAGAACAAGCAACCGCAAAGAGTAAAAAAACTCCCATAACACATTTTTTTTTTTTAAAAAAAAAAAAGCCAGTTCGACTCCGTTCCAGCCTAAGCGCCCTCACAGATACGGCCCCCAAGAAGACAGGTATGTCTGGTACAGTCCAACCGTATTCTCATACACAGCCTCTTCAAGCGCGCGCTTAGAGGCGCATGCGGATATGATCACCAAAGAGGCCTCCTCTTGAGGCTCTTCCTCGGCAGTCACTCACATGATACTTTGTTAAAACGATTTATTCTTTTCTAGAAATCCCAGAAGAGTTCACTTCTCGGCTCCCTTTTCCGAGGGAATAGGTCTCAAAAGCGGGTCGCCGGGCTGTGGAAAATTGAGGCTGTGTGTGTTGTTTTGACGTAGTGAGTGTACTAGTGGGTTTCGAAACATACTAAACGTGCCCATTTCCGCGTATCAACCAAAATCGCCCCCACAACATTGACCGAGATGGGCAAAGGAGGAGGGGACTGAATGGAAACGGGAGTGACCAAAGACAATGCGGCCATGAGATCCTAACGAGTCGGAAGCCATTCACGATCCGAAAACGACGAGTGGTCAAGGCTGAGCCAGAAACAAAAGAAAAAAAGAAAAAAAAAAAAAAACTCGACGATATTTTTCCACAATGAGGTAGATGAACAGAAATAGGTGGAGATTATGCCTTCTGCGACCTGTTGAGCTGAACAGTTAATGACATGTCGTTCCAGCCTCACGTTCATGCTATTAGACATTGTCAACTCTCTTGTTGACCCGAATAGACGACTGCTGCTGCTGCTGCTGCTGCTGCTGCGCCTCTATATCCAACCAAGCTGGGATCGACCAGCTTAACCAATCTCTGGCTTGCAGTCAACGGCGAAGCTATTAGCGGCAGAGTGAGGCGCGGATACTGAACGGGAGTCGGGAACCGTACCACTAGTAGGGCGATTGCCGGGCGAATTAGACCGCCACCATGCTTCTCCTACCGTGCGTGCAACCTCTTATTAATCCAGTTGAGAACCTCACCGGCCTTGTCTCGCCGCTTCGAGTCTGTGACCTTGAGGCTGTGAAGTGTCACTTCTCAAGCGGTTGGAAGTAGACATCATCTGCAGAACTAGTATAGGATGCGGCTGGGATCGACCATACCATATAGAATCCGGTAGCGAGATGCTCAGCCGTCCAGCTCCTGTGCTTCCTGGCTCAGTGAATGGTCGTCAGTTATTTAGCTGACTGGTGAACGTTTCGCTTGAAGGGTAAAAGCGGGGTGAGGATTGACTGCTCTACTATGGCGAGATGGGTAAGTTAAACCCGTGGATCAGGTCGTTGGACACACAGTGCCCACGAAGCTCTGGCTTTGGTGGTCTGTGTGAGATACCTGACAGGGAGGTAAAACTTTGGCTCGCAACCGCAGTACACTAGACTTTAGCTGTGTGGTGCCGTGCCGTGTTGACGGGAGGGCAAAGCGGGAGGCGCAAATCCAGGGGTCTTGGTCTTTTGACTTGATTGTCCAAGAACATAAGAGGTAATGACTGGAAAGGTTGGTAGTGATTGTTGTCCACACGGACGAGGATGCATGTTGCTTGTTATGCTGCCAGCCCTCATGATTTTCATATTGAGCGGTTTTGGCATGTAGAGGTAGTCTTCAATCCGGTTTTCGCTGCAGGTGTCACCTGTGATCCAGGTTGTTCATGGTGATAATATTGCTGGTAGATATTGCTTGAAGCCATCACAACCTAAACCAAGCCAAATTATCACCGCTGAAATCAGAACCTCGGGCAAATCGACACTTTAGCAGAGCACAAAGACGAAATAACACTCAAGAAGTGACAACTAGGAGCTTCGTTCCTTCCAATCTTCGCATTACAGCATGCGAAGACTGCACCTCAACGGCACAGCCAAGACTGACAAGGAAGTTGCAACGAAACAGCTGTTTGGAAGGAAAGTGGGAGATGCCATCCACGGGCTCAGCTTGTTCCTTGTGAAGTGCTTCTTACCCCACGAATGTTTGGGATGCGGGTGCGTGCAGTATACGGTGTCTAGTAGATACAAGTAGGAAGGTGTACGCCAAAGTACCCCACCTAACCCTTGGTGTTAGTACCTACACAAGGTAGAGAGATACTGTGCGCTCAGATGATCCTATGCTTCGTTCCTTCTTTCCTTCTCCTCCTCTCTCTCTTTTGGTTCTTATTTACTCATTGGCGTTGACCGGTGAGGATAGGTAGGTGGTAGGCGGGGTGATTGGATGGCTAGGTAGATAGTGAGTGGTTTATGGCTGAGGCGGGATGGGTGGTCATTCGTCTGGACTTGTCATTTTCGAAATGGCAATGGTCGGTCGGGATTGGGGATTGGATATAGGCTGAAACCTTACGAACCACGCAAGGTCCCTCACCGGATGGAATGATATGGGAACTGTTAAATTACGCCTGGGAACATTTATCTCATCGATGGAAGTTCTATCCGTCTTGGTCTTCATCCAATCCTTCCCACCGTTCTCGGGCTACGACGAAAGAAATAACTTACCCCCACCTAAGGAAACGCAACGCAACACATCCTGCCATCAAGGTACACACCATCAGTCATTTGTAACAACGACACCACCATCCATGTAAGCACCATGTTGCATTCTTTGCGCGCTTCTCTTCTCTCTTGTGCAAACCGAGAAAAAAAAATGCGAACAAAGCACAGCAGGCAGGACGCAATGACAAAGGCATTTAGAAGGACACGGGCGAGATAAACAAAAGCAGAAGGTCTCATCCGAGCAAGAACAAAAACATTGTGTCCAATGCATTGTTTGTGTTGTCTTGCATGTGGTGATGTGCAGTCGACTTCGATATCTTCCCTTCTTTTTTTTTTTTTTTTTTCTTCTTTCTTTGCAGCAGTAAACAAGCAAGTCACAAGCGAGGAAAACATCGAGTGATGAACAGTGAGCGTCGCTCTTGAACTTCATTCATTGATTTGTTAAAATTCTTTCCATCTTTCCTCCTTCACAGGGTATAATCCTTCCTTTCCAGCCATGACAAACCCGGCTCATAGTTCAGTTACATGCGTTTTTCCCCCCTCCCGCCCACAAATCCGTGGTACCCTTTCCGGTCAGCCATGGGTATGCTACCGCCCTTAAAACTCCATGTGATATGCAAATCCAAATGCCGCCCTAAAATATGTCCCTCCTAAGAGTGGAACGAAAGAAGAAAATGCAGTCCAAAATGGGTGGAAGGCCACGTAATGCCACTCACTACTCAATTGCAACCCCAGTCCAGAAGGATTGCAAGAGAGCGAAAATGAATCATTGCCCTTTACGAACCCGTGCCTCCTCACGTTTCCCTCCATCCATTGATGTTAACCAGTAGTGTGTCGTCGTCATTTTAGTAGAAGTCGATTTTCCTCTCCCCGGGTCTCAATTGCCTCGCGGCAACGTCTAAAAAGAACTCTCGGAGTTCTGGTTGTATAAAAATTGGTAGAAGCAAAAGAAAAAAAAAATGCAAAACAGAATTGAAAAGGAGGCCGATTCCAGCCACCTAAACAGCTTCAAGTATTGCATGCAGATCGGTTGGGTTTCACTTCCCGCCAGTCAACCAGCCTGGGGAAGAAAGTGAATAGACTTTGTTTTTTTTTTTTTCCCTTTTTTTCTCTCATTTAGATAAGCAAGTAATCCCATCCCTTGATCTGCATAACCTCCCGCCAGCGGACGTAATGTGCGTTGACTTGCTGCTGTTGTTGTGGGGTCTCAGAAGATAAAGAAGAAGTGCCCGCGGCCGCCTCCGCCGCCGCGAGGATCGCCTCATACTGAAGCCAGACCTCGCGAAGGAGGACGGTCATGCGGCCGAAGCTGCCCGAGTTGGCCACGTCGCCGAGCTGGGCGACGCGGGTCTCGAAAAAGTCGCGGAAAGATGAGCCGGGCACGCTGACGGATCCACCGATCAAGTAGACCCAGGTGAGTGAGCGGTCGTACCCGTTGACACCCGAGGGGATCAGCTGGAGAACCGCGGTGAGCTTCTCGACGAGACCCATGCAGCTGGGCTGAGCAGGGTAAAAGCCCGGGACGAGGCTGCAGAGGTAGATGCGAGCAGCAAGACGGAAGGCGGCCGTGATGTTCTTGCTCAGTTGCTTGGGGCTCAGAGTCCCGTTGGCGTTGTAAGGCTCGACGAGCGTACCCTCGTTGACCTCGGTGTTGCTGATTTCGTCGCCAAGGCCACGGACGTGCTGGCAAAGTGTAATGTCGTCCATGCCTTGATTCTTCAGCGACTCGAGGCAAGCAATCTCCGAAATGAGGTACATGACGCGATCCTCGCAGCCCATCAGTTCGCGCAAGCCGAGCGAGTGGTTGTTGATCGAAAGATGTTTGTTACGGTAGGTGTGCGCGAACAAGGGGGAGCTGCCTAGCATCGTGGCGCCCAAAATGTCAATCCAAGACGTAAGCGTCATATTGAATGGTGTATGTGCCAGTGGCTTGGTGATATCCGAAACAAGTCCGGCAAGATCCAGCTTTTGCACGAGCGATACTACGGCTTGGAAATGCTGGTGCCAGGGGATATCGGGAAGAGTGTCCTCAGGACGGCCAACTATGCACTGGAAGAAAATCAAGCCAAGGGTCGCATCGAGAATTGGCTGGTGGTTCTCATCGCGATTGAGCGCCTCGCAGAGCCAGGTGATGGTGGCATAGCGGTGACGCATGATGTCATTGTCAATCTCCTCGTTCTGAATACCCATCGTAGACTTGAAGTGTTGCGCCGCAATGCTCAAGCAGCAGTGCAGGTAACCCTTGTTGTTGGCCAGTGATGGGAGAACAAGCTCGGAACTGATTGAGCCATGCTGGTTTGATTCCAGAATTGGGAAAATGGTTGGGAGAACGTGTTGAACAAAGTGATCGAGGAGCTTCTGATCGCCGTCATCCAGCTCAATTGCCACTTGTGAAGAAGCCATGGCCGGATCGCAGGCAAAGTCAAAGAAGTTCGCATTAAAAGTCTCCTCCGTCAACGACTCCCTCCGCTCCGAGAACACCTGCTCGGTCCATTCACCTTCCAGAGGGAATGACGGGAGAATTGTGCCCGGAGGCGGCGGAGTCTGATATGTGCTAAAGGTTGATACTGTCGATTCGCGAAGGGTTGGGATATCGTTGATGAAGATTTGCCGCTCTGTTTTCATATCGATCTCATAGGGAGAGAAGGGTGGGAACATGTACTCGCCATTGACGTGTATTTGTGGTGTCGCAAATGCCGCGAAATCCTGGCCGTGCTGGGGGCTATTGAAGTTGAAGCCAAAATGCGAGTCGATGGAAGCAGACCTGTTGCGATCAAGCGGGTCTGAAAAGGTCGCTGACGTCGGGAGCGAGTGCGAGAGTCCAGGTGGAGTGTTGATTGAAGTCTGGATGGTGTGCGACGACTTCTCCGAAAGCTTCTTCCTCTTGATGATCATCTTGATTTCGTCCTTCTGCTTCCTCCGCGCATCATTGTTGCTCCACCACATTGGCCTCTTGTATTCGCAGCATAGCCCAAGATGCTTGCAAGCTGTGCACATGGGAGAACCCTCATCGCACTTTTTCCTCCTCAACCTGCATGTGTAACATCCTTAACATCGTCAAGTCAGCTTCCCGGCCCAGCGAAGTCGAAGACGTGTGTAAGTGATGCGATAACGGTGATGGGGAAGAAAAGAAAAAAAAGGGAAACAAACCTGTCCTTGAGCGGCGATGCATCTGTGTCTTTTGCTTGGGCGCGGCATTGGTGCCTGCCTTTGCGGCCGCCTTGGTCTTGGTTGTTGTTGTTGTTGTGGTCGTCATGTTGACTGAGGATGTCTTCGTGATGTCTTCGTGGTGGTTGGGGGACTGTGTCGACATTTGTACCCTTCTTGTATGGGAAGTACCTCTTTGGGGAGGAGTTATGGAGCACAGCACCGGGACCCAGGGGGGTGGATGGTGGGGGGTGCTAGCGGAGAGGGGGTGGTCGGGAGCAGGGGTGGTGAACTTCAGCTAGGCCGAGGAAAATGGGCAGAAATGGCCAGGGCCTCTCTATCCTCTCGTCGGTCCAGAAGGTCCCAGGGGCAAATCGCTAGGGGGCTTATACCCAAAAACTCTCTCTTGTATCAGATTATTAAATTACTTGTATCGTCGAATGAAAGACTGGATCGTGAGCAAGGCCGGCTTGCGTGTGAACTGGGGTCGGAAGTTGGTTCGATGGTGAACTTCGAGAGACGTAAGACTGGGTAGCGTGAGGTTGAGTGTAATTAAAGGAGAGAGGGAAAAGATTTGTTGACTGGACTGGACTGGACGACACCTGGATCTCACTATCCTTCTCTTCAATCTTGGCCTGCAGATGAGAAGACCAAACCGGAACGTCGAGAGAGAAGTGGGCAAATTCTTATATCAGGCCGGCCGATGGGTCAGCGTGTGGTGCAAAGCCATGCTGCGATCGTGATTGCTCTCATGTTCTATTTTTGAAAAGCGGGCTAAATAACTGCTTTACCCGATTTGACCCCCTAGCTGCGTTAGTTGGTGCCCTACTGTACTGCGGTGGTATTTGACGGTGGATGGGTGGTACCTACGGAAGCACGCTGGTCCATGGCAACACAGGCTCACGCACACAATCTCACAGGCACACAGGGCTGCTGCTGGCCTGCTGCTGTCCTCACGAGGTCTCGGTTCTTCTTTTCCTCTTTGGACAGGGGAGGCCAAAAAATCTCGCCCATTGGTGATGGCGGTCGCCCGGAAGGTCTCACTCGGATGTGGGAGGGGAGCAGGACGACCCAACAGTACCCCACCGCTGATGGTATTCAGGCCAAGGGGGGGGGGAGAGGAAGGGCAAGGGGTACGGATGAGAGCAAGTGTCGTGTAACTAGCTGCGTGCAAGGGTAACATTAACACTAGAGGCAGGGCATGGGGAGGTAGTGACGAGGTATCTCGTCCAGGGTACCGAGGCCCTCACGGAAAAAGATGGCTGCAGGGGAAAGTAAAGAAGCTGTTGAGCAACCAAAACGGCAGCTCATGCGTGCTTGAGGACGACTTGGCCGGGAGCTCATTGGCACGGGGATCAGAATGAGTGCAGAAAGGAGGAAGCTCACTGTACCAGCAAGATACATGGATAAAATTCGGGCAAAATGCTGGGGAGCCAACATTGAGACAGACATGCTTGACTCTGGCAACTCCCGCCGTCTGATATTAAACTAGGCAAAGCAAAGGGTCCGCTGATCGCCAGACCTGTGACTCTGAATCCCTTTTTTGTTTTGTTTTTCTTTTTCTTTGATTTGAGGTGGGATTTTCAATTGTGAGCCAAAGGCCGTCATGTCGACGAGTTTTGCCATGTATCCGTTGTAAGCGGACTTTTCTGTGAAGAGCCAACAGATTCGCCGCTTGGCCTGGGGATAGGGGCAGCTGAGAGACTGACGGACAAAAAGACGAATGAACTCGTCAAGACCAACAGGGTTTGTTATCAGAGATGTGATGGACAGTTGGAAGCGAAGAATGACATGCCCGCAACCAAGAAAGCGAGCACAAGAATTCGTCGAGGCAAGGTGGTATTATGGCTGACTGACGGGACAGTGCAGTGGTTGTCCCGCAATGCGCAATTGTGTCTAGCCTCCTCCACACACCCACCCATCGTTGCTGTTGACTTTTTGCAACCCAACCTTTCCCCTGGGGACGTCGAATGGCTGCATGCGCATGAATCCAGCATGACACCAAATCCATGCCATGTCTAGTGTAGAGGAGCCTCCGGAGCTCTTCCTCAGAAGACGGCTTTTTCGCGTCCGTTCCCGAGTGCTAGGACTACCGGGATGACGGGTTGCATGCTGGCCCGTATCCGGATCACATACAGAGATGCGGTCCCGGTGATGATGATGTCTGCGCGAGAGACATGGTCCAGAAGAAGGAAAAGCGAAA